TTCGAACTTGCTTAAAACATCAAAAACCACGTGTTTTGCTAGAAAAACACGGGCCTGCAGCGCGTTACACTCTCTCTCTCTCTCTATATATATATATATATTACCATATAGTATAGAACAGAATACATACAACAGAATACAACAAAGCGCAATGCACTACTGTACAATACTATATACCAAAATCTTGATGTAATAAAACGTTCTGATTTCATGCACTCTGATTTCGCATAACTTGCGTTTATATAGAACAGTCTTGTCTAGTACAGTATACCGGAATATAGTTTAACCCAAAAGTATATAACACAATACTACAGCATGTTGTATTACATTATCATGTGCAGTGTCTCGTCTTGTAGATTGTCCTGTAGTTGAATATATTTCATTGTAGTTTATACCATCGAACTTTGCATGCCCAGCTATGTCAAATAGGATCTTAATCTGCGGCCATATAACGCCGCAATATAGCATGTCATGTTATGTTATATTGCTTTTTGCTGCTATTATACCCGACGACAGTCTATGATCTCACTTCATCTTGTTTTATTTTATCATATCTTAATATGAGTTATCTTGTATTGTATCGCATCGCATCAAATCATATGACACCAGGTCCTGCCATCTTAAGCTATGTTGTATTACATGTTTCTTGAATGAAAATATGTTTATGCTTGATGTTGTTTTAGCACCTTATGTCTTATTGTATTGTAGTACATTAGTGTATATTACATCATCTGATTTGATGATTTCACATTACATACATATATATATATATGTATGTATGTATGTATATATATATATATTCTTATTCTCTATTACTGGTTAAGATAATGCTAGCGGATCAGGGTGTGGGATACAATCCCAAGCGTCCATGTATCCATGTAGTATATACCGATAAGCCCCATAGTAGTTCCTTTTTGGGATTCCCTAATAGGATCAAAAATATAAGCCACAAAAATGTACTACTATGGGGCCTCTGGGTACTTCGACCCTATACAGTAGCTGTATAGGGCTACTTGTAAGACTCTAAAGACCGAAATATGTCCTATATGGGTACTGCGCCCCGTATCAAGAGCCGTCAAAGCACATAAGACCCCTAAACCCTAAACCCCTAAACCCTAAACCCTAAACCCTAAACCCTAAACCCTAAACCCTATAAGGGCGGCGGACTCAAGGGTTGGTATCTGATCCTCTCTTCGCTGGAATGCTCCATCTCGACATTCCAGCTGTGTGTGTATAGGGTTTAGGGTTTAGGGTTTAGGGGTTTAGGGTTTAGGGGTTTAGGGTTTAGGGTTAGGGTTTAGGGTTGCATATATGTATGTTCTTGCGTTGGTATATACTGACACATTATGTACAAGCTTAAACATGGTGTGCAACTGTATACAGACAGACATACACATAGGTACATACATGGGCACATACGAACATAGACAAACAGACAGCCATGCATGCATGCATGCTTACATACAGTCTTTCATTCACACATACACATTATGGACCTGTGTACATACATACATACATACATACATACATACATACATACATCTTGCCTGCCGGTCCTGTTTGCTTAGGCTTGAACACCCGCGAGTGCGAGTCTTGTTTGCTTGGCCCGTTTTCGTTCAGCGGTGCGAGGAGTGGAAGCATCCGCAGCGGGGAACAGGCGGCAAGGGCTCTTTTCGGGAATAACCCCTTCACCCTTGGCGGGACTGACCAATTGTATTATCTGGGGTACGCGTGCGCAACCTGTGATTGCTAGACAAGTGTGGACCTTGCATAACTTAGCTGCAGCAGGCTGGGTAAACCCTCAGCCCAATTCACAATCTGTCTCCGGGATTTGTGTCCAGGTTTTCAGCGGCTGCTCAGTGAGATTCCCGATCGCGTTCGCAAGAATTCAGGATATAAGCACTTGGAGAAGAATTGGGCCACTTACAGGGTAAGAACCCCATCCAATATAAAGAGCTCTGCAAGGTCAGCACTTGGAGAAGAATTGGGCCTCTTACAAAGTACGGACCCCATCCACTACAAAGAGCTCTGCAAGGACCCCCTTCGCATTTGATCAGCAGGTCCGGCAGCAAGGAGCAGCAGCAGCAGCAGCAGGCGATGACAAGGAAGATGTTGCGGACCATGTTGAACATAATATTACAATGTTAATATTAATAACTATTATTATCATTAATTAATACTAATAATAATATAATAGTTCTAATAATAATAATCTCAATAACAATAGTAATAACACTCATAATAGTAATGTGAACATGATAATCACCCAAAGGGACCAAAGGGTCCTAGGTACAGTTATGTGGGATACTTTCCCACATCACAATAGTAATTCCTAATATAGAAGCCCTACATTCCACTATATAGGCACTTAGGACCCTTTGTTTAGTGACGATCTTTCTGACGACGAGGGTGTTGGGTGTGAATGCTGGTGCCTAGGGCGACGATGATTGTGATGAGGAGGTCAAGATTCTGATAGTGGTGATGATGCAGCCCCAGCAGCACAGCAGCCGTCGCCGTCGCAGCGGTGGTCAGGCAAGACGGTTGATGATATAAATCCTGCATCACCCATAATATGGAATATACCAGAATATGCATAGTTTATGAGGGTCCTTACGGTAATGCAGGATTTAAATCATCAGCCGTATTTCAACTGTCAACGGTAACCCCGGTAGAGTGAACATTTCGGCCTCTGAGATCTGGCGCCCGAGCTCTCATCACCTGAGTTGCATCTCTAGGGTTTTCTTGACTCAAAACCTTCAGCTCCAAGTTTAGGGTTTAGGGGTTTAGGGTTTAGGGTTTAGGGTTTAGGGTTTAGGGTTTAGGGTTTAGGGTTTAGGGGTTTAGGGGTAGGGGGGCTTAGGGTTTTCTGGACTCTACCTATAGTCTCCGTTGTAGTCCCTTTTTCTGGCTCAACCAGCTCTATATTGAGGTTTCTATAAGGTAACCCAAAAAGGAATTACAATGGAGCCTATAGATAGACCTTAAGCTCTAAACTCTAAACCCTCTGCCCTATACCGAAAACCTTAATGGGGTGAAAACCTTAATGGGGTGAGGGCTAAACGCCCCAAAACTCCTTAAACCCTAAACCCTAGACCCTATAGTCCCTAAACCCTAAACCCTATAGTCCCCAAACCCTAAACCCTAAACCCTAAACCTCTCCAGGCGCCGCTTTTGATCGCCTCTCCCGGGGTGGGCACGAAGTCTGCGTCGGCCGGCAGCATTTGCCTTTCTGGTTCCTTTTAGGGTTCCTTTCAGGGTTCCTTTAATACGGGTTCCTGTAAGGGTACTATTAGGCTGTAGGGTTTACGGTTTCAGGGTCCATGTGGATTATAGTAGTATATACTTTGGCGCTACAGTACCTACATAGGGACTACTTTAAGGCCAACGTATTTAGTATTTGGGCACATGGACCTCTAGGTTTCCAGCATTCGGTTTATCTTTAGACGAATATGACGATGATGGGGATTTGCGTTGAAATTATATGTGATGATGGTGTTCGTGATGTTGATACTGGCGATGAAGATGACGACAGTGGTGGGGGTGATGGTGGCGATGTGACGCAGGTGAAGGTGCCGATGCTATGGCTACTACTATGATTGCGGTGTTCGGCTTCACCGCAGTATAACTCCATAGTGCAATGTTCGGTGCGGCACCTACACCTGGCCACCCTCCCCCCACTCCCCCCATCCTCACCCCCTCGACTCATGCACCTCCACCCCACCACCATGTTGATGCATGTGAGGACAGCAACAAAAGCATTGATACTAGAGATGATGAAGGTCATGGTGACACTGATGCTGAGGACTGTGATCAGGGAATTGACCATGAAGGCCATCACGGCGAGAGTGCTGATGGTGCTGATGAAGGTGCTGATTGTTGTGGTGATATGGTGAGAATCACTATGATTCGGCTGTCATGCCCGCTCCTTCTTATAATTATAGTATAATGGGCCCCAAAACCCTATTCTAAGTATTAAGGCCGCTACATTAAGCCATTTAGTTGTTCAGCAGGTCTTCGTCCTCACTGCAGCAGCCTCTGAAAAGCACCGTGGGCAAGCCAATGCCTCAGTTGCTGGGCCTCTGCTTGCAATGCACCTCTGGCTTAGGGCTTAGGGCTTATAGGGTTTGGGGTTTACGGTTTAGGCCAGTTTCGATAAGGGTTTGACGGGGATTCTACATGGTTTCTGACGGTTTGCATTCGGATTTTAGTAGGGCTCGATGCTTCCATAAGGGCACTGTGCAAGTATTCTTGCGTACACCGAAGGGTCCGGAGGGCTTAATCATTGGGTACACCGGTGTCGGGAAGTCGGGGCTTAGGATTTAGGGTTTAGTGCTTGGGGTGCGTTTATTTCAAGCGTTCTGTCACGGTTCCTTCAGGGGTTTGGGTATACTAGAGGGTTTACTGCGGGCATTTGTAGGTTTTCATATATTTTCCTACTGTTGATGATACAAATCCTGCATTACCCTAAGGACCCTATATTACGAGAGTTATGGTATATGCCTTATTATGGGTACTGCAGGATTTACATCATTAACCGTAGTTTGCTACCTTCAAGACTTCGGGACTGTATCCTCAAACCCTAGAGCCTCAGCCCCAACCAGGACCCCCCTCCCCCGGCGTGTAACATTTATATGAAAGATGATCTTATGATTACTGAAGGGCCTAGAATATCGGGTGGTCTTTGCCGAAGGGAGGAAAGCAGCATTTCTTAAGATCGAGAAGCATGCTTTCAAACACACTCAAAAAGACATTTGGTTCTCATGACGGTACCCCAACCCCGCTTCCCCCGCAGTTCATCGCGCTTGGACGTTACCCAATAATTCAGAACCGTGGACATGGTTCGCTTTTTGCCTGGTCAGCGGCTTCCACTCGAACCATCGTTGATGCGAATGATATTCTCCGACTTCTCAAGCAGAGACTCCAATATCCTTTGATAATAAAGGAATATATAATATATACCTTAAAAGATAATAGGACCCCTACTATGATTTGAGGAATATTCCTTAATCAAGGGGTTTTGGAGGCTCTGGGCAAGCAGTACTTCGAATTCCAGGAGTCCTCGAGCTGTCGTGGATACAGGTCGGGCATGTGCAATGCGCCTTGGTTTTCACAAACCACGCCTCGATGAGCAGGTTAAGGGTTTAGGGTTTAGGGTTTAGGGTTTAGGGTTTAGGGTTTTCGTAAGAGTCTCAACGCTGTCTCGAAGGACTTGACTGCCATGCGAAGGCGACCTACCTACTTCTTGGGACGATTCCTAAACCCTAGGCCCTATAAACCCTAAGTTAACCCCTTAGCCAAGACGATTCCTAAACCCTAACCCTAAACCCTAAGTTAACCCCTTAGCCCCTCTCACAGGGTCCTTGAGCTGACGGCCTCCAGCATATGCCGGGGGTTGGGCTTAGGGTTTAGCGGATCAGGCTCCGAGTTCCTGGACCCCAGAAGTACGTAGAAGAATCGCTTTTTTGGGTGTTGGCAAGATTTAGCCTACCTTAAACCCTAAATCCTAAACCCTATACACCCTAAACCTTAAAGCCCTAAACCCTAAACCCTACACCCTAAAGCCCTAAACCCTAAACCCTGAATCTGGTGGTTTAGGCAGTGCCGAAACTCCTGAGCCCTAGACCCTCAACCGGTGCAGCCCGAATGCAGAACCTACGGCCCAGAATGCTGCGAGATACCTGTTGCCCTATCCTGAAATCAATATGACCCTAAGCAATAGAGCGAACTACAAGTATGGCCCAAAACAGAAGAATCTCAAACACACCCAAAAACCGCAAACCCTGTGAACCCTTAGCTCACTCCTGCCCTAGACTACAAAGCCCTATACGACCATTTTCTAAAAACCCGGACGCTTTGAATCCCAAAGAAGCCCAAACTCTTCGACTACCCCAAGCCCCTTGAAGAACACCAGCTAATCATCCTATATAAATCTCAGACAGCCCTTCAAACCCCAGCAACTCGGTGTAAACGTGCTTCCGTTCTTAACATCTGCAAAACCCCCCTAAACCCTAAACCCTAGACCGCTGCAGCACCTTTGGTTCAGGCCCGGGCGAGCTATGAGACATGGGGCTCCAGGAAACCACCAGGCATTGCTCTCCTCAGGAATTTGCTGTAGTCCCTTTGATTGGGTTCAGGGTTTTAGGGTTTAGGGTTCAGGGGCTGCGACATGCTGCAAAGTTGGAGCGCAGGGTTCGTGACAAGGGTTTCGAAGAAGGTTATTTAAGGGTTTTGTTTTAAGGAGGGTTCTTTAAGGGCTGTTTAGAACTGAAACGCTTTAGGGTTTCCGGGCAGACCCCACATTGAAGGGAACGGCAATCTTTGCAGATGTTATCCTTTGTGGGCTGCCTAGCGCGTACGTAGTAGTGCAGCTGCAGGTCAAGGATTCAATTCGTCGAGAACTACAGGTTTGGGGTTTAACCCTAAACCCTAAACCCTAAACCCTAAACCCTAAACCTCTCACCAACCCCTATCCCCCCAGGTACCTACTATATGGGGCCTTAGGGGCTGTAGTACCCTATATATAACAGGTACCTGGGGGGTTAGGGAACCCCTAAAACTTTCAGCAGCAACTTAGGGTTAAGGGCACGCCCATGCGCCCCACCTCTGCATTGTAAAGCATCCAATGAAACGGAAGCGCTCACCGGTTAACATCAGACACATGCTAAATCCAGAACCCTGCGCTGCTTTTAGAATCCTTGTAGAACCTATATAGAACCCTAAACCCTAAGCCCCAAATGCCACACAAGCCCTAAACCCCATAGGCCCTAGGCCCTAAGCCGGAACACATCGAACAACCCGTGTGTAAGCCTGATTTACCCAAGTCCGATACTGGCAGGGGTGCAAGTCTTCTTCGTGAAAGACTTCTCCTGGACCGCAGAGGACATGACAGGCCTGTGGTACCCCGGATTTTGGGCCCTAAGCCTGAATCTAGCTCGGCTAGGGTTTAGGGGTTAGGGTTAAGGATTAGACTTACTAACTGCTTTTTACTGTAGCCCCTACCTACCTCTTAATGAGGAATATGGCACTCTGTTATTTAAGGGATACTTGGGAGGTCCCGGCAAACCTTGAACCCTAAGCCCTAAACCGTGTGGGGCCCTGAAACCTCGAGCATGAATTTCTGAACTATGCCGCTTGTCAGGGTTGTATGATAATGCGACTGAACGTTCTAGCCCACCCCTCCACGCCGCAGCCACGCCGGGCCAAAAAACACATTCAAGTGCTAGTGAACAAATCCACAAGTCTAAACCCTAAACCCGAAACCCGAAACCTCTAAACCCTTATGCTACGACAACAAGTCAGCTCCCCGACAACGATACCGTCGATAGCTTCCCAAACCGTCCATGGCCCTGAACCCTTAGGGTCCATGTACCCACATAGTATATACATTGTCTGGCCTTAACGTAGTCCCTATATAGGCACTTTGGGGCCAAAGTATACACTTTTTGGGTACATGGACCCTTCGATCGGGGAAAGGAGTGAGGTTCCAAATTGAGGAGAGAAACTTGAAAGGAATCAATCGAAGATTATGGAGCAAATCCAAGTGGCTGTCCGAATTACACGAAGCAGAACCCATGTGCAGGGTATAGGCTTTAGCGCTTGGGGGTGGTGTAAGGCTAAGGGTTTCAGGGGTTCAGAGTGTAGGACGTAGGATTTCAGCGCCAAGGACTAAGGCTACATAAGCTTCCTTACTTGGAGGATCATGCGACCTAGCAAGTCAGGTCATAACTACCTTAACTGGGGTTATAATTGCTTATAAGTATAGTTACCTTGTTTTCTCCCTAGTTACTAAGTCCCATGATCCTCCAAGTACCTCAGTTCCCAAGCCCGGTCCTACCCTAAGTGTCCAAAGGACATAATGGGGTACTTGGGCTACGGATAGTAGTTTTGTAGGTTAGCATATTTTACAGGCATTACCTAAACCCTAAACCCTAAACCCTAAACCCTAAACCCTAAAAAACCCTAAGCCCTAAACCCTAAACCCTAAACCCTAAACCGTCAACCCTGAATCCTTAAAACTGCAGCCCCCGAAAGCTTGCCAGCCTCAAAACCACACGGCGCTAAGATCCCGAATTCAACCAATCTTATACAGAAGCCTGAACAATTAATGCTACCGTTCCTTCGGGTTTCCACTGTAATGACAGTACAAAATAAACCCCCCCAGAGCCATATTCTAACTATCAACGCCCCTATATGACCCTAGGAGCCTGAACACTCAAACCTGAACCCATTCCCGGCGGTTTAGGGGTTGAGGGTTTAGGGTTTTGGGTTTAGGGGTTTAGGGTTTAGGGTTTAGGGTTTAGAGGTTTAGAGGTTTAGAGGTTTAGAG